TTGGATACATAGAAGCTATTATTGCTTATTTAAATAATAAAGATACATTGGTATCAATAAAATAGGTGGAGAAAAAACATTATGTTATGCTTTGTCAGCTATTTGTTTTGAGGGTTTAACCATTGTATTTAGTCCTCTTAAAGCACTTATGAAAGATCAAAAGGTTAATATTTAATGAATTATTATATATTATATATTAACATTTATATTTTTATATACTTATATTTTTTTTTATTATTAGTGGAAACTTATAAAAGCTGAAATTCTATGTGCTACATTATATGCTAATTTAGTACAAGGAACTCGCATTCAAGAAAAAATTTTTGAAGAAATAGCATGTAGATTAATAAAAGCATTATTTGTTACACCTAAAAATTAATATTTAATGAGGGATTTTGTAGATTTATTACACGATTATATGAACAATACAAAGTCCATTTTGTAATTGATGAAGTGTATTGTATTCTATTATATCAGATTTTAGGTAAATTTAAATATTGATATGGTAATAATTTTTTTTAAAATTATAAAATAATTGTTTATATATTTTATAGAAAAGCGTGAAGACAGCTTAAAATATTAAAATAACATTGGAAATTAGCTCTGATTATGCTACTTACAGCAACATGTATATGGTTAAATGTAGATGAAATTCGCATAAATTTGGTCATTGAAGAAAAGAATTTTACTATAATTTGTGGTTTTACTAATTATCAATCAGAAATAATTTTTAGTGTACAAGACTGAAAAGAAATTCTGATCAATATATTATTGATATTACTGATATTATAAATAAAAACCTATATGGTCGTATCATTATATATTATGCAATACATTCTAAATGTAAATATTTGTTTAATAAATTATAGAAAAATCTGCCTGATATATTGATGGATAATTTTCACAGTAATTTACGTGATAATGAAAGAGAAACAGTAATGAATAATTAGAAGTCTAATAATACATGAATAATGATTGCAACATCAGCTTTTGGTATGAGAATCAATTCAAATGATATATGTATGGTTATTCATATAGGAGCACCTATGATATGAGTATGTATACTAAATTTAATTATGTTTATATTTGTTATATTTCTAATTGTATTTACATTTTATAGCTAATCTTATTCAAAAAGCTGGACGTGCAAGGCGAGATGGAAATACAACAACACATATTATTTTTTTTAGCAAAAAAGATATTTATATAAATTACTCTATAGTAGTAGAATATCAAGAAACATAAGTAATGATTTATTTTTATATATTATTTACATTATTTGCTAATTTTTTTTTTATAGAGAGATTATTACTACGAATGTTTTAACCAATGAACAGCATTTGACCATTAAACTTGAACAAGTAACTAATAAAATTTTTGAAGTTTTTTACTATTGCAATTCACGCTTTGAATGTCATCAATAACTAATCTGGCAATATCAAGCATGACCGGATGAAATGAAATTACCTGTATATGAAAAATGTGATAATTGTATAAATTGAATTGCTAATAAACCAAAATTACTTAATGGTAAAGAAGAAATAATAAAATTATTGGAAGTAGTAAAATTTCTTATGCAAAGAGAATAACAAATTTGTTCAGACGATATAATAAATATTTTTAGAGGTGAAAAAATAGTAAAGATAAAGCAAAAAGGATAGGATACCTTGCCAATATATCCAGTTGAAAAAAAAAATACTAAAAACTAAAGAACTGGTTCAGCTTGCATTGACAGATTTAGTTATTTGTGGTTTGGTTTAACAAAAAATTATTTTACGATGTTCTTTTAAAGGTAATATTAGTTTGTCTAGTAGTATTATTATAGTTAGTGTGACTTTCAATGCATAAGTAAATGCTAATATGCAAACGTGAAATTATTTCGTCAAATAATAAATATAATTTTATAATTTCATAATTTTTGTTAAAATTATAATGATCATATTTTTGTTACACAAAAAAAATTAGTCACATAAAAATGATCGATATTGACTCTACCCTTAAAGTTAACCTTTTAAAGGTGATTTTTTGGTGTTTTTTAACTGCTTTCTTTATTATTTCTTTACTTTTTTTAGGAATACATTAAGGTTAGCCTTTCAAAAATAGTTTTTAATAGGTTTTCTAATTGATTTCTTTATTTTTTCTTATCTTTAAAAAATCAAATGTATCTTTTTTGAATAATATATAACATAATATATATTTTTTTTGAGTAATTTATTATGTAATAATAAAATAAAATTATAATCATAAATAAACAAAAATGAGTTTTATTAGTTTCGATTTTATTAATAATTGCTTAATTGATTTATACTGATTGTTAACTAATTTTAAGCTGATTTATGCTGAATTTTAACCAATTTTTAACATAAATGCTAATTAATAACAGATTTTCTAATTATTCAAAATGCTGATTTTTTGGCAATAATCGGCAGAATTAGAATATATTTTGACCAACTTTTAACACTTTAAAATGTAATGAATTATATTATTTTGCCTAGTGATATATTAAATAACTACCAATTATTAATTTTAAATGATTTTTTGCATGGCATGAAAATGAGTAACGTCGGATATAAAACTAAAATTACTGATTTTTTTGGCAATGATTAGCAGAAATAAGACAATATGTTGGTCAAAATTCGGCACTTTAAAAAAGTGATAAAATGAATTATTTTGACTAGCTATGAATGAGAATAAGATGATAAAACTCTTTCTTCTTGTTGGATTTTTTCCAAGAATTTTTATTTTAAAAAAGTGTTTGTTTAACAGTAGCTGTGACTTAGCCTGTGAATAAAACAAAAAAACCCTACTTTTAAAAATATTTCTTTCTTCTTCCTCATACCACTATTCATATAAAAATTTTCAAAGTAGTCTAAACAGTATTATTTTTTGTTAGAATATTTTTCTTTACCTTTTTTCTAAAAATTTTTCTGTTTTTCTGTTTTCTTTTTTTGCTTATAAAAAATAACATCAAGAAATATTTGAACTGACAATCATGATTGATATACTTTGGATAAACAAATTTCACATAATGATCCCTTTTTCCTTTCTAAACAAATATACACTCTTTTGATTAACTTTTACCTTTTTGTAGATCCTCTGTTATTAAAGTCTGATATTCTCATTGACTTAAATGAGTTTAAAATAGAACTTACTTAGTATAAGTTCACTTAATTTAGATTCATACCTGCCTGGTAATCAACTAAAGGATATAAATCACTATTTATAGAAATTTTGTAAATTTTTTATAGTGGATTTTATGTGATATTTTTTCTGTATTTATAAATTTATAAGTATGAAGAATTTTTGATTAGACCTAGTTACTTGAAAACACCTTCTTCTGCTGGGTAGTCACTTTAAGCTGGAATTAATTGGACTTTAATTAGTACTTATAGAGTTAATTTTAATTGTTTATAAATTTCTATTTGTATCAATTCCTTACTTCAGGTGTTGTTTTTAGTGTTAGTTTTTTTCTTTTAAGAGAAGTTAGGGACTGAAGAATATTTAGGAATTAGATGCTTATTTCCATCCTTTTTTAAAAGGATGGCAGTAATAGGTGATTATAAAACATGTACAGTCATACCTTGATATAACAAAGTTGCCGATCCAGCTGATCAGAACTTCATTATAAGAATCTTCATTATAACATTAACGAATTATTCGTTATAATTGATGATTACTGATTTCATTACACAAGTATAATTTTACTATGATATAATTTTTCCAGAAATATTTTATAAATTTGAGTCATTTTATTTTAACATGCAATCTGTTAATCATTGTACAACAGTTTTATTAATTTAAATTTTTTTTAATAAAATAAAAATAAAATAAAAAATAAAATAAAATCAAAGAAAAAATAAAAACGAACTAAAAAGAAAACTAAATGAGATGAAATAAATGAAATTAAGAAACTGAAATGAAAACTATAAAACGAAATTAGGAAAATGAAATGAAATGAATAAACGAATGAAACGAAAAAATGAAAAAGAAAAAATTAAATTAAATTTATGATACGAAAAGAAAAAACGAATGATACGAAAAAAAATGAAATTAAACGAATGATACGAAAAAATAAAAAGAAAAAATGAAATGAAACGTATAATACAAAAAGAAAAAATGAACGATATGAAAAAAAATGAAATTAAACGAATGATACGAAAAAAAGAAAAAGAAAAAATGAAATTAAACGTATGATACGAAAAGAAAAAATGAACGATACAAAAAAAAATGAAATTAAACGAACGATAAGAAAAGAAAAAATGAACGATACAAAAAAAATGAAATTAAATGAACGATGAGAAAAAAACCGAAATTTTTATAGCCTTGCAGGCGCGTCGTGATTTTGCCGTCTATTTCAGTTTTACCTTGCAGGCTCATCACAGTTTTACCTTCTGTTTCATATTTGCCTTATAGTAGGCAAATTACGATTTTCTTACGAGTATGCTTCGATTCTAAAAAAGTAAATATATTTAATATAATCTAAAACATCATTTAAACTTTTTTAATTATTACCTGGCCTATCCCAGAATCGAGTCCTGAAGAGGTTGTATAATCTTTCCATAGTATAAGTCCACCTCCCACCTCTTCTCACTCCATTTCGATAATCACAAAATTTTAAAAGATATTAATTATACTGTTAAGTTATATTTATCATTATATTGTTATTCATTTATTTACTTACGTTGTAATCACGTATTAAATTCCTCCATTTCAACTCACATTAGTGAGATGAATATGCTGTATTGAATCTTCAATTGATTCGTCAAGCTACACTCCTTCAGAATCCCACCTTATTGCCTCTGTACCTTACATATGTCTCTCCTCCTTCTTTTCTCGACTAATGAGTCGATTTTATTATCTTCCTAAATGATTCTTGTAGTCATTTTTATGTTTGTAAAAAAATATGATTTAATAGAGTAAATTAAAGTGATTTAAAGGTTGATTTAAATTTCAAAAGGTGAAAAATTATATGATAGTAAAAAATACTTCCCATTATAAATAAATTTATCCATTTGATTTGATATCTTGTGAAATTTTTTACTTATTATTGAAATAATACAATCTTAATTGAGATTCTAATTTGTATAAAAACAATAATTCAAAAATAACTTACGCAAATTAATAAATATAATATATTAGACAATCAGAGTAGATCAACAATAACAAATCATCACCTCGGTGATAAATAAAAAATCATTATAAAATTATTCGCAAAAAAATCAATAAGCAATTTCAACACAAGTTCAACAAAAATTGGTTAAAAATTAATAAAAAACAATGTGATTTCTCGACATAATTTCAACAAAATTTCAACAAAATTTTAACTCAATCACGGGGGTGTTATTTAGTCAATACATCAAAATTTCTTGTGATTATGATGTCATTTTATTCTGTAAAAAGTAAAAAAAAAAAAAAACTGTAAACATTATTGCATAACCCTCAATTTATTATTCTATTATAGTAATAAATTTATCGAGATTAGTTTGTTTTGAAGAGACAAACTGTTATTTTAAAGCTTCTTTTCTAAGCTTTTTAATAGACCTTAACTCTTCCTTTTTCATGCCAAAAATTTTTCTTGCCACTCCAAATATAAAATTACTTTATCCTATGCCTCAATAACTTCCCCAGAAGTAATTGCTGGCAATAAAGAATCTTCCTCTCTTTTGTCTTCTTGATCAGGTAAAACTGCTTTTAAAATTTCTTTGTTAGATATCATTTCGTCTGTAATCTCAGACTTATCATACTTGATAAATTCTTCGGCAGAAAAAGGATTATCAAAATCCAGTTTATCGATTAATACTTGAACTTCTTCCATCTCCTTTAACTGTTTAAGTTCAAGTAATATATCATTATTGGTTTCAACCTCATTTTCATAATTATCTTTAGGTAAAATATCTGCTTTCACTAAACAATTTTCAATTGTTTTATTTGTAACATTATCTCATACTTGTGCAATGTATTTTATACACTTTTTAATATCAATTTCAGAGGTTCGATACGGTATTCATTAAATTTATTAAAAGCTTTAACCCAATTTGTAAATAAAGCTTTCAATATTGTGCCTAAAATAAGTTGAATTAGAATTAAGTATAAATAAAGTTAATGTCAATTATATTTTAACTAAAGAATTATTAAATCAATTACATTTCTCACCTTAAAACTATTTATGATACCTTGATCACAAGGTTGGAGATGTGCTGTGGTATTTGGGGGGAGGGATTGAATAGTGATGTTAGTCAGGCGGGTGGTTTCATAAAGAGCGTGTGTCAGAGCATTGTTCACAAGAAGGATAATTTTCCGATTTTGTCTTCTCATTTTTGTATTAAGTTTTTTTATGTAATCGTTCCAAATTGAAACCTGCATCTAACTTTTTAGGTTCCAATAGTATTCAACCGGAAATGTTCTTTTATCAATATTCTTGATAACCCTAGGATTTTCATACTTGTGTATGAACAAAGGCATCAGCTTTTCACTTCCCGTTGCATTGTATGTGAGTAGGATCATTACACGATCCTTTGATTGTTTCTTTTCTGATATTTGTTCATTGAATATCGTTCGACATAGTTTCATCTTCCAAAACAATCATGTTTCGTCACAATTGAATATATCTTTGGGACTATATTCTTTTAATATTTACTGGAGATTTTCTCTCATTGTTTCGAGATCTTTGAGTGTCACATTTGTGGCTTTCTCGTATATAACGTACTGTTTAAGGTTATATCATTTTTTAAAGTTATCCACCCAACCACTAGACCCTTTAAACTTATCCTCCTTTAATAAAAAAGCAAAACTCAAGGCTTTTGTTAACAGTATATCATCAGCAATAATGAGGCTAGCTTTGAGTGCGTTATATACCCATATTACTAACGCTTCTTCAACGAGAGGAAATGGGGTTTTCTTATCATGTTTCAAATTGGCTTGGTATGAATTGGTATTCACAGAAAGCCAACGGTCTTTCTTCTTTAAAATGTCACTTACAATACCTTTACTAACATCATTTTCATTAGCCAAGTCTTTTTGTTTTAAAAAAGGTGATGATGTTTTTTTCAAACAAAGTTCTTTTTTTTGTGCAGTTGTAAGAGACTTTCATTTTTTTTTTAAAGGTTCATCTTGTTTGTTAGTAGTTTGATTAAGTTGTTTTTTTGAGTTTACTTTTGGCATTATTGGCATTATGCAAAGAAAAAAAAACACGTAAAAAATAAAATATGTAAAAAAAATATGAAACACAAGACAACGCATAACGCGAATATTTATTCATTTTTTAATTTTATTTAAAAATTACATAATTTTATACACATAAATCTAGTAAAATTCATTTTAAGCAAAACTTCGTTGTATCAAAAAAAATTTCATTATAGAGAAAATTCGTTATAACAAGAGTCAGTTTATATATAAATTTTTCTGACTTTAATTCGTTAAATATAGTACGAATTTTTAATTACTAAATTCGGTATAGTAAGGGTTTTCTTATATTTAAAAATCTGTCTGACACTGAAATCCATTGTATTGTAAAATTCGTTATATCAAAATTCACTGTAGAAAGAGTTGACTGTATTCTTCTAATAATATTTTGACAAATTTTATTAATATTTCAATTGCAGTATTCAGTAACTTAAGTTTTGATCTGAACTTCATTAGCCAAATTAAAACCTTCACAATTTGATCTTGTTTTGACAGTTTTAAAACACCAGGCAAGTCAAAAATAGAATATGAATAATTTTCAAAATTGTTTGAAGATTCATCTTTAGAATATTCACCATCTGAATCATCAGAATTATCAGAATCACTATCATCGTCTGAACTTTCAAAGTCGCCTTCAATCGACTCAATAATAATACGTCGAAGAGATTCTGTATTTTCTTTTTTTACGCGAAAGAAACGTAAAAATCAGTTCTTCCGATTTGTCATCATTGTCAATTATTGTTTGAAACGTCGAATTTGCCTCAACTTCTATTATTGGATCCAATAGATTGATTGACATTGGAGATAAATTTTCCTCAACTTCTATTGTTGAATCTAATATTTGAATTATTAATTTTGACATTAGAGTTTCATTTGGAAAAACAGCATTAGGTAAAGGAATCAATTATTCAGAATGTAATAATCCTGTCTTATGTGTTTTTTTTGTATGTGGATCGATAAATATTCCTTCATATTTGCTGCAAAAACATTGTACCTTTACTCTCAGTTTTCTTGTAAAATTGATATCTAATATAGAAGGTTGACTAGGTTTGAAGAACTCATATTTAAGATACTAGCAGTAATGTATTTTCTTTCTTCTTTTTTCATTTTTTTTTGATGAATGATTTTACAGTAATTATGATGAATAAAGTGATAATATACTTTGGTTTATGTATTTTATCTTGATACTATTAGACTTTATTTATATCCATGATGTCAATTAACAATTTTTATTTTTACTTTTATTGAAATTTTTAATTATATTGAATTAATATTGATATATTTAACAATTAAAGTTAATCAAAAGTAAAAAATAGTTTAATCTAAAGATGGTTCCCATAATTATTTTTAAAATTTTTAACTAGTTGCAACTTAAGTTGTAATACTTTGAGTTGCAACTATTTATGAATTTTTACATTAAAATAAATTTACAAGAAGTTGCAACTAAGTTGTAACTCAAGTTGCAACTTACCGAGTTGCAACTTCTTAATTATGGTATCTATCTTTAGTTTAATTATTCGTAAAAAATAGATATAAAAGCTGGATGAATTTTCTCTTTGTATGTCTCAAATACTTTCCCATTCAAAGAGTTTTAAAAGTAATAAAAAAGAAACAAAAAAGAAACAAAAAAGCTAATATAATATAATATATATTTTTTTCTTTAATTAATTATGACTCGTAAAGATATAAATCAAAAGTTCTCTCAACTTACACTACCTATACCAAAAATTAAGTCGTTTTAACTTACTATCAACTCTATATCAAACATCACACCTTCTCAACCTACTATTGACTCTACACCAATCATTATACCTTCTCAACCTATTATCGACTCTACATTAACTTCCTCTTAACTTACTAAAACTTCAGGCCTGTTCAAACTTGTTATGCCAGAAGATATCCAAATTTCATTAAACCAAGGTCGCTTACCATTATTATCATTAATATCATCTTAACTTACCGCTCTTAAAATTACTACTAATTCACTAGACTAAATACTATCTAAACCTGCTATATCACTATTAACTAGTCGTATACCATCACTATCAACTCCATCAACCATTCAAATTCCTTTCAACTATCACAAACTTTGTCACAAGAAACTATAATTGTATCGGATATTATTAAATGATATCCTAAGCACTGGTCGAAATGGGTACAAATCGGCTAAAAATCGGACAGATGATTGATGGATAATTGATAGCTGATTTAGGGCTGATTTGCATTAATTCCGATTGACACAATATGAGTCAATCGGAAATATCAATCAGTCATCAATCG